ACTGGCAGAAGGAATAAGAGACGACAAAACTTGAACAGATGGATGCCCCAAGCGTTTATGAAGGAGAGAAGGATCCACTTGGGTAGCAAATGCTGTAGAACATGGACGAAACAGGAAAACTCCATTGTGTGCATCACCCCGTCCAATCTCCATCTTCGTGACACAATCCTGTATGACACAACAGTTTTTGTTAAAAATACCAAGACAAGAGGTATCTCGAATAAGACAACCAACATAAATAAGATTGCACTGCAGATGAGGAACAAGCAAAACGCCCTGAAGCACTACTTCGAGTGAGAGCCGCACAAGGCCACATCGAGTGGCTGTAGTCTGTGTGCCATTGGGCAACGTGATGACACAGGGGGCCATGGGAACCACATCAGTTAAAAAAAAGATACTACCAGTCATGTGATGAGAGGCGCCACTGTCAATAAGCCACTCACGAGCCGATGCCTCACCATTAGACCCAGTATCCTTGTCGGAAGAAGAGACGTCGAGCATGGAAAGTAACCGAGTCATCTGATCAGGTGTGAGGCCTAGGGCGTTGGAATTGGTGGCTGCATTTGCTCCCCCTGTCGCCGATCCTATCCCTCGTCCAGACCCACGGCCAGGGGCGCTACTGCCGCCGGACGGCGTTCTGCCACCGCCGCGACTCCCTCGTCCGGATGCAGTGCCGCGACCTCCACGGCCCTTCCCGGGCGAATACCCATGCAATTGATAGCACCGATCCACGGAATGGCCGTCTTTTCCACAATGTGTGCACGAATAATGGGGGGGGTCTCCACGACCCAAGGTAGGAGCGGGACGCTGCATGGCAAAGGCGAGAGCGTCCGTACGGTCATCTCGGCCACGGACAATGCTCTTATGCCGTTCCTCTTGAACGATGAGTGCATAAGCCCGGTGTATGTCCTGAACAGGTTCGGTGGCAATAATCTGAGATCGGATGTGACCGAACTGTTAGTCGTCGAGTCCGAGCAAAAAATGATGAGTCTTCTTCTGTTCCTCGCGCGCCCGAATCAAAGCCGCAGCCTCACACCGGCAACCACACGTTGGATCAACAGATCCATATAGCTTGTTCCACAAAGTCACAAATTGGTTATAGTAGACAACCACAGTTTGTCCCTTTTGACGCAAAGATTGAAACTCAGATTTCAATTGGTGAATACGAGGTCCATTGGAACCTCCATATCTGGTC